CCCCCCCCCCCCCCTCCCTCGCCCCCCTCATCACCCGGGGCAACAGGACTCCATCAGTCTCAACACTATCTGCCTAAACGGGAGAATCAGCTCAATGCAAGCTGGGGCAGCAGCACGAAGCTCCCCGCGTCTTTTAAACCTCTTCGGGGGCAGGCAACAGCTTGACTACGCTACCGCTCTGGTCGAAAATATGGCGACCATTGCGGCACTCGCGCTTGTTCTTGTTTCCGAATGACCGTTATCTTTTCGAACGGGGTGGAAGATTCTTGGGACATGCACCACCCCCAAGCTTCGCCCACCTTGAACGACAGCAGCCGGTGGCAGGTGTCGTACAGCTCCACGATGGCCCTCTTGAGGGACGCCCGCACATACGGGTCCTCGGTGGTCGCACTTTCGTCGTCGCCGGCGCCGGCGCCGCCGCTGTTGCTCAGGAAGCCGTTGCCGCCCCCAAAGCCGGCGTTAGCCTTGGCCGCGCCGCCGTCCACGTCGCCACCAACACCGCTCCCCACGGAAGGGCCGGAAGGCGCTGAGGAGGACATTCCCCAGCCGGAGGAGCCCCACCCGTTCTCGTCTTCCCCCTGCTGCTGCTGTGAAGATGATGGCGCCGTGCCCCCCATCCCGTTCGAGGACGACCTGCGCCCGCGGATTCTCGTGGCCCCGCTCAGGCTTCCGCTGCTGCTGCTGCCGCTGCCGCCGCTGCTGCCGCCGCCGCTGCTGCTACCGCTGCCGCCTGCGCCGCTCCCGGCCACAAGAAAGTGTTCCTGTTTTTGCGATAGTTCAGTCGGCGGTGCGTGAACCGAGAGTGAGGAGAAACGTTCCAACATGACCGGCCGGTTGGACAACGGTACGCGCAGCAGATCTGATTCATCGAGACGAGCGAGCTGGGAGAGGACCAACGTCAATGTGCACAGCAGATGTATTGACTTGGGGACAGGCGGGGGGTGGGCAAACACGGTCGCTTCGCGTGCGGACGGGCTTCTGTGGAACAAGCAAGCCATACACACAGCATGCTGCGTGTTTTATGTTCTTTGTAGCTGGTTTGCACCCGTAACAGCAAGGCTGTATGTACCCTATCATCGTCGTCTAACCTCCTCAAAAGGAAGAAACCTCAACGCACAATGCCCAACCCCACCTGAGGGGTCGGCCGCAGCACCCCGCCAGTGGAAACGACCGGGCTGCTGCTGTACTGCAGGTCTGGGTCGTCCAGGAGAGACGCCGTCGTCGCCGCGGTGCCGCCAGGGTCGTCGCCGACGGCACTGCTTTTGCTACCGCCGCCCTCGTACCCAACGCCGCTGCCGCCTGCTGCCGCGGCGGAAGAAAAGTCTTCCCGGACACCCCCCATCCCGCCCAGCTTACGGTGTAGCTGGTGTCGGAGGGAGGCGGAAGCATCGTGGAGGGCGGAAAGCTTGGCGGCGCACTGGTCGCTCTCGTTCCGGTAGAATGCCCACATCCGTTCCAGCTCCTGCGTGGTGTGTGTGTGTGGGGGGGGGGCAAGGCGTCACCATAACGGTCGGGGTTAGGTCATGTGGAAATTGGCAGCATCTTCGGTGTTGGAGAGGCGCGACATCGGTTTGCCTACTTTCCTAAAAAAGGTGAAGATCTCAACATTTAGAGTGGTGTGAACGTAGTGTTTTAGCTCAGGTTCTCCGTCGAGCTCGTGTCAACAAAAAGAAACAGACGCTTCCGTTTGTCATCGCCAGCGTTGTGCTGCTAGGATACCCTCTTCAATGGGAGGTGTTGCCCGACGTTGCACGTCAACGTGCCAACCTGAGGAACGAATCTAGTCGGAGGCGCCCGGACATCTTCTTTTCTTTTCCAGCGGTCATCTTGTGGCCAATTTTTTCGAGGTTGAACGTATGCGAGGGGGCAAACACGGGCGTCACTACAGCAGCAAAACTCTACAGAGCATGTCGAGGTCGGCTATTGTAGAGCATACCAGGTGTTACTGGTCAAGCCAAGGAAAGGCCGGTTGAATTAGGCGGAAGCGCGAAACGCGAACACATATGCAGAGACAGTACAAGGTGACAGGCATGACGGGCTTGCGGGATAATTATCACCCTCGACGTCTTCAAAAGGGTTTCAGGCCCACAGCCCGGGTAGCCGTCAACCCGCAAGCCTTCAACCGGTTTCTTCCGGTTAACAAGCGCATTTGCACACCTCTGTTCGGATTGGGGACTGACAAGCCCTTCACGATGAAAGAGCACGGACGGGAGTTGTACGGTGCTCTTCGCTGCGGCACTAGATAGTTTACCCTTGCCTCTGCCTCTCGAGGGGATCTGGCCCGGCTGGATGTGCGTGGCGTACGGGAGCGTTGCCAGCAAAACAAAAACAGATGTTGGCAGACACGACACGGCACTACGTTGAGGCAGCATGGGTCGGGTTTATGTCGCAGACTGACAAAACAATCTGACGATAGCCGGTCCTCACGCACATTCCCGGTTCTTTTGTTGCTGCCATAAAGTGGGCTGAGGTTCATCTTGGCAAATTTCAAAGTGCATGTAAACAAGTCGAATGGAGGTTGCATTTTAAGCACGGCCGCAACCAGGTTTTCGTGCCGCCTCGTCTGCCGTTGCTAACGCTGGTACCGAACTCAAGATGATCGAGGTTCACCGGAAAAAAATGTCAAAAAACTCCAACGGAAACCATCAGAGAACGGGCAAGCTCTCAAGAGGGCACGTTGAAAAAAACTACTGTCGCCGTACAGCAACAGCAGTGGGACGTCGTGGCCAAGGAGGAGGGGCGAAGATTCGACCACCTTACTAAGAATCTCAAAACAGGCGTGATCCTTGTTGACACCAGATGGACAAACACGCATGCATGTGCGTCGATCTCGAACTCAGATGCATATCGTCCTCTTGGGGTTTTGATGAACACACACACACACACACACACACACACTAACAGGATTCGGATTACCTTCGAGCTAGCTCGTTTTCTGTCGATGCGAACTCGCAATGTGTTCAAACGTCATGGGCTACTGATCGACCAACTTCCACTAGGGCCAATCGGTTGGGATCTCTGCGACAACGATAGTAATGAGGGTAAATATTTTAGGAGTGACGGAGACGAAGGGAAGGGAAAGGTAAGAAAGGAGGACGAAGACGACGATGGAGGAGGAAAACATGGAGGAGTGGAAGAGAGCAAAGGGTTT